CAACAGTCTCACACTCTGTACTATGAAACACATGTGCATGCACATTGGTTTGCAATTTGCGAAAGACTCTGTGTATACACCATGCAAAACGGAGGGTAATTACGCATCGAGCTTATACATTCTCCAAAATAAAGGGTGGCTACACACCGGGCTTATACACCCTCCAAAATGGAGGGTGGGTACGATACGCACAGCCAGACAAAAATGACACACAAAAAAGGCAAACGAACATTCCACAGACGGCCACCTACTCATGCTCCGCCACGATCACGCTACTCACGCTCCACCAGCTTACTGGGTTTTAAGAACAGGTAAACATTCATGTCCCCCCCATCTTCCCACTGCTGGTCAACACATGAGGCCCTGCACGTCGCACCCGAACAATAGATAGGCAGCACTCTTAACCGATGTACCGAGCCAGCGCAAGTACAATGCCTGACAGACCCGTGCAGGCCGGTCAAAAGGGATCGGAGTCAGTCACTCCGCTTACTCCGGCGGATAACGCAAGGTATTAATGGATTTTGATGCGCTTTTACCGATATCATTGCGAAATATGATAGTTTATGTTACAATTAGTTGATGTTTTTGTCCTCATAAACGCTTCTCCCTAATTTGGCAGGCCAAAGTTATGGGTTCACGTTACTCTGGCGTCCTGGTGTTTTTGCCGGAGTGACATGGCTGTCTCCTAGCAGCTTTTTTTTGGCTATTTATAGCAACGCTTTTCAACTTAAAAGGGTATTTTTAAGCCTGAATTACCAGCTTTACTTTCACACCCTTAGGAGACAAACTTAACTTGATTTAAATCCACAGCTGCCGTAACACTTTTGTACTCGGGATACCAGGAAGTGGCCAAAAACCCAACCACATGGCGGTTTTGGATGAGTACAAATGAGTCCTTCATAATCGTGATGTCCGTCTCTATACAGCTTCCCTCCAAATGTTTACAAATCTGTTCAAGGCATGAGCGCGAACAGAATGTTTATGCTCTTCACAAATCAGTCATGAGGAGGCGAATCATCAAAATCAAATTGGAGAGTTTTGCTATATTCAACCTCTAAACTGAGCTGGGAGGCGAGCGCAAGCCGCTGAATAGTTGAGACGTTTCCGACGCTGAATTGCAAGTGATTCTCTTATTTGCATCGCCATGACACAGTGGTGGCACGTGGATAGGCGGCCGTCTGCGGCAGGTGATTTGGCGTGCGGTTTTCTATGAATGTTCGTTGCATCCTTGGGAATGAATGCGGTTCACCGTCAATGATAGGTTAAGTCATGTTCAAGTTTGAGTTGGTCTGCGTAGGGCATAGGAAGTGAGAGCTTTGCTAATCTAAAGACCGGTGCGATTCTGGTACACGTTTCTTATTTCCCGGTATTGTTCAAGGGCGATTCAATTCAACATTCCCACGCTTTACTTTTCACATTTCCAAACGTGGTTTATCATATACCTAGGTGGCAGCACTGGCTGCTTCCTATTGGGCGTCTTAGTCTGGTGGGTGCAAGACTTGTGCTCTTGCAGATATCAATACATGGCTCCTGATGGAAGCAGCAAGTCTCAAGCTGGTGCACCTTCCGGTTTTATTTTTTCCTGACACAAAGAAGTAAAATTAGTTTTTCCAAAAGCTGTTCTTGTTGCATCACGATGGAGTACAAAATATTTCATTTCACCTAGTCACAATCCTGGAGTACAACATCTCCTGGTGTACATTATACTAGGAAACATCAAGTTTTCCAACACTGGTTCTGGGGAAGATCACGGTAAAATACTGGTAAAAATCGCCTGGTTGAGAAATGACATTTGACCTGGCCTGCTAGGGTTAATCACTGACCTCGCAACGTGAATTGTGTTATATCTCGCGATTGTTTGCCGATGCCAGCCCTTTTGCACCAATGTCGCGTCATTCCTAACCTGCAAAAAGGCAGGGGTAATGTTTGCCCCCCCCCCCCCCCACCCTCCCACGTGACAATTTGTCTGACAAAAACGAAGAGTTAGGTTGAGGGCTGGCCTCGTCATGCCGGTGTGCTCATTAACCAAGGATTATCATGGATTAAACACTCATATCTGACCATTTGCAGCCAGCGCCCCATGGGCATAACACTGGGGTTTAATACGTGTTCCCATTTTGGGCTAAAAGAAATTTACCTACAGGCTATCATTCTGGCGATATGGGAACGGGACCTCCGGGTTTATCTGGATGCCCCAAGGAGTTAGGTACCATGCATTACCCCTCTCCCGACGAAGGAGGCCCTCTGTCTTCAGCAGTTGACACCGGATCGACGCAGAAATTCTTGCTGATGCAAAAGGAACTTTCGCCAGCGGCAATTTCGATAAGTTGAAAATGGAGCACTTCAACTGGAATCCGTTGTGTTGTAAGCACACAAATATCAGCATGATAAGAACTGCCACCTTTGTGACGCTGTCAGCCATAGCAGGCGTTTACATTCGTCGATACGAGATGCCATCGATACTGGAATTTACTGTGCCGTACGTCAAAGTTGTGATCGCAAAAATTCCAAAGCCATAGCCGTGGGCTTTTCGGTCGCGCAAAAAGAGTTATCATTTCGACCGATCGTCTCGACTAAAAACTAGACTGACTCCTGGGCGATATATGCGCACGCGCACGCAAGCAGACGCGCAATACCATGTGCACTTCTGGTAACCGTCATCTGACTACAGACAATACAACACAGGAATTGTGATCGTCCTTGGGAACGGACGCCACCGTCCACATAGAGCTTGTCAAAGCACGGTACACTGCTGCCCCAAACCAGGCCCTTTCCATCCTCGACTCTGGCTTCATTCACGGCCGGAGCTTGGTGGCGGCTGCAGAGTACAAATCATGGTCGTGGTTAACGCTGGGTGAGCCGGCGGTTTTTACGAATGCAAATAGGAGACGATCTCTCCCTGCTGTCAAAACATCCCATTTGATTTATCACCCCGGACGGGTCTGCAGCTCATGTCCATGGTCGGAGCTCGGCGGTCTGTTGCAAGGGGTTTGCAGACCATGAATTCCTGTCATGGAATTCAGACAGTGGGACGACAGACAGTGGGATAACTATGCCGGTGATATCCATCAGTAATGCATTATACAATTGCCAAGCGCAAAAGTCGAAGACATAAAAGCATCGATAGATTAGGACTCATAGCCCTGAACGGGTAGCTTTACACTTTGGGTACAACCGGTGTGGGGATAGCCACTACTACCTGGCGACAATATGGCAACCATCGCTGGATCTCAGTCATGCTCTCAGGAAATAGTTTGTAGGGATTAATGTGTGGTGATCATCTGGCACCCTCTCTTATGTACCCACTTGTCGTCAATGATCCAAAACAGGTCTCTGTTTCAGTGCATAACTTGGCAATGTGCGCAGCATGTATTAATGTGAGCTTAATGCCGCAATGGCGTGCAAGATTGTTCAGCTGCTGGTGTCACAGCAGCTATTTCGCTCAACGCTGTGGGCAGTGCCCAGCATCACTGAGACGATGGCGAGTTCCCGGGAAATGACGATGATGAAGACGATGGTGATGAAAAAATGATGATGAAAAAGACGATGGTGAGTACCCGTCATCATCCCAAAAGCAGGCGACAGTTTTACGGGCTGATGTATGCTGGACCATGAGGTTAGTTTTCATTGCATTAGTTTTACGTTTGTGGTGTAATGGATAGGCTTATAAAGTGCTGCACTGGTCCGAATGGCTCTAAATACTGCATGTAGATACAGCAGTACTAATAGAGTCTGTGTGATTTTAAAACCAAGGTTTGGATCTCATTGATATACATCCCATAAAATATTGCTGAGAAACAAGCTATGTTAAAACTACTCTGCTCACGTACTGTGCTTTTTCTGCAAGGAAGCGGGAACGTTTGACACAACCCGTCATTATCGGTGTTACAAGACTTGATATCGGACGCCGCTGAGCCAGTGCGCGGGGCGTCACAAACCGGTAAAGTCAACGTCCTTCAGACATCACCACTCCCGTCACTCCCGTCGTCTGATTTGTATTCGTCAGTTGTCCGATGAGATACGACACTGAATGGAGGTAGAAACGTGCTCACTGATACGTCATATCCACGGAATGGTGGTTTTTGGAATATTCCGTTGAAATTCAGTTGAATGTTCATTTGAAGTTCAGAATAAATCTGATTATATTTTACAGTATCTTGCACCAGTATGACACTGCTCCTGATTGGTCGCTGGTTAGGAGCACCGTCTCCACTCCGGTATCGGGTATGGTCGCCAGCTGTTCAGTAGTAGCCTCCCCCACCGCTCTGCTGAGAGAAAGCTCCAGCGTTGGAGGTCGAGCCCTGGCCCAGAATGCCACTAAACTGGGCATTGGTGGCATGTCCCGCGTTAGTACTGTCGCCGCCGCCCGAGGCAGAACCCTGCAAACAGAAGACAGGTGCGTAACACTCTGAGCCGTGAATCAATATTGAGCGGGCGACCGTGAGGGATTGCATCACGTTATGTCTGGATTGAGCAATTTACTCCCTTTGATGAACCGCTATTTTTAAAATACGCTGAAGCATTTCTACTGTCCAGCTATTGGAACAGCATTATATGCTTTCAATACAAAATAAGTAGGTATGTTTGGGCATTCACCATCAGAGCACCCCCGGCGAAGACTCACCTCCGCACGGGCGTCAGTGCTGGTGACTGATGTCGAGCCAGCCGGGCCTAGAGTTTGACCCGAGACGACGTTGCCGCCGGCAGATCCCGTCGCTGCACTGTGGCCTCCAAACCCTCCGAACTGATGGCTGACGGCTCCCGTTCCACCCAGCGTAGAGCCGCCGCTGAGTGATCCTGCACCGCCGAGGAGACCTCCCCCGTTGCGACCCGCGTCCCCGAAGGAGCTACCTCCGCCAAGATGACCTCCTCCGACGATCGCACCTCCTCCAAGGCCTCCCCCACCTGGGTGTCCACCTCCAATACCGCCTCCTACCGGATGTCCACCTCCTACGCTTCCTACTTCCAACAGGTCTACCTCCGAGGCTCCCTCCTCCAACATGACCACCTCCTGTGCTTCCTCCTCCAATAGGGCCGCCTGACAAGCTTCCTCCTCCGACAGATCCACCTCCGCCGAAGCTTCCCCCTCCCAGGTGTCCACCTCCGATGCTCCCCCCTCCAAGACTGCCACCACCGCCACCGCCGCCGCCACCGCTGCCACCGCCGCCGCTGCCACTGCCGAAGCCGAAGCCGAAGCCCGTCCCGCTGCCGGAGACCCTGCCGCCGCCGATGCTGCCTCTGTTGCCATAGTTCCTGCCGCAGCTGACGGCGCAGACGACGCTCAGCAGGATGACGAACCGCTTCATGGTAACCTGAGGGGCAGGACAGGCGAGGCGTCAGCTGGACGGGCAAGTCAGTCGTCTTTGCTACAGCAATCGGCAAACATTACCATCAGCGGGGGATGAGTTGAAAACGCTGAGATAGAAGGCTGAAACTTTGAACTCGGCTAATGGAATGTGTAATTGGGATTAATTCTCGTAATGACTACTCAAATATTGTCGTTCTTATTTTATATGCACTGCACATGACATTTTGGCATGTGTCTTTGTAATTTGTGTCAACTACTAATATTCAAGTTTGGAGGTTTTTGACGATATCGCCTAATGAGATCACCTATTCCCTTTGATTACATAGCTTGGATGATATTAATGCATAAGCAATTATAAATTCTCGTCGAATTGTTCCATGCAGTTCTTCCTTAGTTTCTCCTATGTCATCATAGCTCGCATTACGGTGCTCAGCAGTGTATACTTTGATATGACTTACTCTAATTCAACTTTAGCCGGTTGTTATTAAATAATTGTGAACGGGATGTTTGAACTAAACATGGGCTGGGTCGTAATGACATGCTTTCGAAAAGCGTTTCGGAGGCTACTTCTGCACGATGAGATGCTCAAATGTGTTACGCTTTACACCAGAGACGTACATCACCAGAAACTTATTTAAGCCAATTGGCATGAGCAGTCCAGGCCGGGTAGCAGAACAACTCTAAACACTCACCTTGTGTTGTGGAGCGAGGCGGACGACTGTATGCTGATGGCAAGCACGGCTGTATTTTATACATGACCTGCTGCAGATATGGCGGGCGTGCCGGTCTTTCCACCGATCCTCTGTTCGCGATCATCCTTGCAAGTCTAACTGTGAAGAACTATGTGACGTTTGCGAAGCCAAGTCCGGAAAATCGACAACCAACCCTGCAGCACGTGCTGGAGCGGGGCTTTCCATGGGGGCGCCTTACACACAAAATGAATGGTGATTTGAGGTGGACGCCTGTCGAATCATGCGACACTGAGCTAATATGGAGGTGATGGTTCTTCTTTTCAGAAGCGCCTCAGGAAGTTCCAAGGCTGTCACCACGCCAGCACAGGTAGTATATTTAGACGTGCGGAAACTGTAGCAATCCATCGATTTCTGTCAAGTGTGGTCGGACAAGTAACGGTCTACACATGTTAGAATGAAGGTGATGCTGCCTCCATCCGTGACATCTGATTTGAAATGGTTGGTATACGTGAATTACCTCATGCTACCGCAGCTGGAGTATATGTGTTACTTTGGTGTTTACGTTGGTCATTCGCGAACCCAAAGGTCGAAGCTATTATAAGTATGGTATTCCCCCACTAAACTTAATACCGATGGACTCTGCGGAATTACCAACCCACTGTGTATCGTCCATCTTATCCACAGTGACAACTCATCAGGATTTGAATTGCAGGGCTAATCAGCCGGACATGTTCGCGTCGGCTTGAGGTTAACACATTGCTACCGAGGCATCGTCAAGTAGCAAATGACTGAACTATTATCTTGATAACTGACTGTAAGCCTCACGTATTTCTTTCGCAACGCAGTGTCAGAGCTAGCGATCCTTGCGGCAGTGTTGCCTGCCACTGGAAGTGGACCGCTTGGCCACCGTCATACGACGGAAGGCCCTCTCGCAGCATGACGCGACGACATCGGTTTCCCCGGACGATGGGCGGCCACCCATCGGTATGCCATCTGACATCGCCCCCCCCCCCCCCCGGGGCAGACCGACGTCAGGCTCGCCCCAGGCCGGGAGGTGCCCGCCATGGAGCAGGTGCTCAGACGTCGTGGCGCGCGGGCAGCCGGCCCGGCGTGCACCAGTGCTGCCACCTGTGTGCGGTTCATGAAGTAACGGTGTCGCTGGTAGAGCCTTCAGAGAATGCCACATGAGCGGCACGCCCTGCGATAGCCGGTAATGTGAAGGTGGGACAAACTCCGGTGCAGAACCTATGAAGTATTCGAAGAGCTCAGTTCAGACCAATTACTCAGGCAGAGTCTTGGTGAGGGTTGTCGGAAGAATGGGGCAAAATGCTGACTCATTGCCCCATTGGGGCGATGAACCACCGTAAAAGGCACAATTGAGTTAGCTCACTTACTTCGAGAGTGGGCCAAGTTTCTTCATTTTGTTGGACACCTGCGCTGAGGAGAGACTCGAAGGTCACTTACGTTTTTGTGATATCGTTCTGTCGTATCGTGTAATTGTAGTCATGCATTCAGTAGCATGCGGCGATTCATTGCACATGCCTTCACATAAAATGCGTCTCTTGCATTTCTGGTTTCGAATTCAGACGCCTTGTTTGGAACACATCACGACGATCTACAGCCGTCGCGTTCGGTGTTTGGCAAGCTATGATTTCGCCGTCAGCAGGAGCGGGAGCGATGGGCGGTTGGTCGGCGGGACGACGCCGCTACATCAAGGTGGCCCTGGCATCCGTTTTTGACACTTGTTTAAAGAACACAATGCTACATACTTCAAATGAAAGGATAGATATGCTTGTACGCTGTCTTGCGTTTCATTAATATGTGTCTACTGACTTGTGAACTTGAATTAGACAGATGTTTTGAAAAGAATGGTATTTTACCTGGCATGTTTCCGTTGATCATTGACCTCGCAACATCAAACTTATTACCATTCACGGTTTCCTGCTAGGGCCAGTCCTATTTCTCCAACAAGAGAGGGTCGATAAAACGTGCCGACTTGATGGATACGGTCGGCGACAAATATGTATACTTTCACGCAAAGCTTTGTGCCAACAATGTTTTTGACAGATTTTTTTTCGATGGCCACGACAAAATAATGAAACGCACTCAGCGACTCCTAATGTGAGGTCTTTATACCTAGATATTATGCCTCCATGGTAACTAATTTCTTCACAAAATGCAAGCAAACTTTCCCGTAAAGTCTGCTACTTGTTTAATTAGCTGACAAAGACATGTAGTTTTATTTGTCTTGAGCCTACATTAGCAAAGTAGGGTTTCGTTAATGTAACAGTGTAAGTCCTCCACACGTGGTCTTCGAAATCGTCGCTTCCCACCGACCGCCCCTCCCCCCCCCCCCCCTCCCATCACAGGCTTGGATCGTCTTGCGGTGCTCGTAAAACCGTCGCCTTTTCGATACCAGAAACGCTAGGAACAAGTTTTTGGTGTCAACACACGTGCAATGGATGCCCCAGACGCCACCAAAGATCCGAGTGCGACTGTGCAACATGCCGGACTGGCATCCTCAGAAAACGTCAGGAGCGGGGGGGGGGGGGGTCACGCCATTCTATCTCCTTTCTCTCCGAGCGAGTATGGTTGTTCAGAAAGAAGTAGCATCCTGATGCGGAATTGTTTACACGTGTCAATACAATTTACTTTTGGGGGCACGGCGAAATGTGCCCACCAGACGACAAAGATGGCAGGCTCAGAACATGCCAAAGGTAGGATGAAGAGTTTGATGACGGTTGAGATGTGGCTCCAAGTGCACACATGATTTTCTTAACGGGCCGTGACCTCGAGAAGGTCCGCATTTTAGACGTTATCTCCCAGTTCCCCCGTCTGCCACCGATTCCAATTTAATCACGAACGTTTCCATTTCCCATGGCTATGAAGTTCCTTGGTTTTTTTGTGGTGGAGGAAAACAAATTCAGCCGTAGATCGAGTTGAAACATTAAGCTCTTCCGGTCCCAGCCGGTGGAAGAAAACCACTATCGTGATTGTATTACCTTATTGTCTAGGGCCGGTGCGCATGCTTTCCTAGCAGCGGCACTAGTGCATTCCTATTAGTAGCATTCCTATCGTGGGCTTCTGTATATTTGTTGAAGAACATTGTGTATTTGAGCGTTTTGTATGTGTGCATGAACATTTTTAAAATCGCGGTGATGAAAGAGACTTTCAGACCCTCCAGTCAGCCAATTGATCGTCCGGCAAAAGAGTGCCAAAGGGCCACTCGGAGCTTACCAGGGCGGGGTAGAGAAGCGCCCCCTCCCCCCTCCCCCTACCTGCCTATCACACTGCCTTATTTCCGAGTTCCCAGCATACAGACATCAGTGTAATGAGAACGGCTCATTTTTTGACGCTGTCAGCCATAGAAGGCGTTACGTTCGCCGATACAAGCTGCCACCAATACTGGACCCTGCTGTAGCGTACGTCGAAGTCATGATCGCAGAGATTTCAAAGTCATGGCCATGGGGTTTTCCGTCCCGGAGACAGGGTTGTCATGTCGACCGATCGTCTCGAATAAAAAATTAAGTGCTGGATGGACCTGAATGATATGTGCGCACGTGCATATGAGCGGACGCGCAATACCATATCCACTTCTGGCAACCGTCGCCTGACTACAGGCAGTACAATACAGGAATGGTCATCGTCCTTGGGAACGGACACCACCGTCCACACAACGCTTATGACTAAGCGCGTTGCATCACTGTCTTAAGCCAGATCTTCTTCATCTCGACTCTGGCGATATTCACGACCGGAGCTTGGTGGCGGCTGCAGAGTGCGAATCACGGTCGTGGGTGCGAATCACGTGCGCTTTTCAATCACGAATCACCCAGCGTGCGAATCACGCTGGGTGAGCCGGGTGGTTTTTACGAATGCAAATCTGAGACGATCCCCCACTGCTGTCAAAACATCCCATTTGTTCTACCGCCAGGGACGGCCATGCAGCTCACGTTCTTGGTCGGAGCTCGCAGTCTGTTACAAGGGGTTTACAGACCAGGAATTCCTGTCATCAACGGAATATTGACCACCGCTTCAGTGGAAACGGCTCATTACGTGAGCTGTAATCTCATCGTAATCTGGTCACCGGTTGCGTCATTTCAAGACGTGACGTCATAGGCACTGGCAGAGGCACGGCATAAAATATGGTGCCAAATGGCCCCGTACAACGGTGATACAACTTACCATGCTACAGTCAGCTGACCAATCCTGGGCCACCTCGTGAAACGTGGTAATTGTTAGGCAAGCGACTGGTCGAAGATGATCAACGGAAATAACCACGCTACCCGCTGGTGAAGTAGGACTTATCAGCTATAAACACAATGCTCGTTCGACACCAATGCATGCACAAGTCGTGAGTTGCGCGTTCTTCCAGGCAGCTTACGTACTGTTATATCTGCCGCACCATTACAATTGGTTTTCATCTGCTTGCCGGCTTAAAATAGCTCGGCCTGGTGATGGGCTGAAAACATTAACACGATCCAGTATAAACTCCACGATGTATGCATTAAAATTACCTGAATGATAATGTCATCTCGAATGCCATTTATAGCTAGGACCTTCAAGGTAATACTCGCTGATACCAGAGAGACTTTTGGACGTGGTCAAAAAAGGTTGAATATCATTTACAGTCCTGCCGCGAACGCGTTGCGGGAACGTAAGCATCTCGCATTATCATGGTGCTCATTAAGTGTGTTCCTTATATCGGATCCCAGACCAAAACCTAAGGTTGCTCGATAAATGTTGCATGCAATAGAGCATTGTTGAGGAAACAGATAGATGGGGATGGACAGGAGCCTAGCTACCGGGTGTGTGATGAATGTGGGGTACAGCACGACTGGTGCACGCTAAACATTGTAAAAACCTCCATGACGTCTGGGGTGCTGACGGGGAGTAACGGGTCTAGGATGTTTCACACCCTCTTGCGATACTGCTTTGTTCTTCAATGGTCTGAACGAACTGGATGCATCAACCGCAAAGGGTAAAAGTTTTAATTAACTGCATCGTATACTTTGCCACCTATTATACACGTTAAAAGGGAGGAGCTCTGATAGCTTCTTCATACGTGGGTCCTAGTTAGGTGGTTGTGCAAGGTATTGTGCCATTCGCTTGGCTAGCCGGCCGCACGTCGCATTTGGTGCTGTGACAATGCTCTAGGCTATCATGCCACCACAGACGTGGGGATAATTACGCCAGTGATTTCCATCAAAATGCAATATAACGTTACCAAACGCATACTTAGAAGACCCAATAGTAGTAGCAGATGAAGACTCAAAACCCCGGTTGGGTAGCTTTACACTCCGTATACAACCTATCGGCGTGTACCAACTGACACGTGGCGGTGGTATAGAAAGCCGCCGTTCGATCTCAATTATGCTCTCATGAAATAGCTGGTAGGAATGGTATCTGTGCTGACAACCTGGCTACCTGCCCTGACCCAACAAATGCATACCCACTTGTCGTTCACGGTCCCAAACACCTTTCTCTTTCAATGCTAATCGTAACGATGTGTGCAATATGTGTTG